ATATGATAGTTTTAAAAAACAAGTTAAAATTTAAGACCCTTTTGAAAATTATTGAACGAAATAAATCTCTTTAAAATTTTGAGAAAATAGGTTTTTCAACCAACAAGAGTTTTAATAAACTGAAATAGAAATTGCGTGAAACGTATAAAAGCATAAAGTAAATGACACCAGATTTTTATAGTGGTTCAGTACTATAACCGACCTACAATCCACCTCAGAGCACCCTCTGAGTATTACACTAAACCTAATAGTTGACTCTCCTTTGCACCCACAGCAAAGGCGGAGACCTTTATTCAACACACTATTTCACCACTTCCCCAGTATGCGGCATTAGGGAGACCGTCCGTCCTTTAACACAATACCCAGTGTTTGAAGGAGAATCGTCCGTCATTCACAGTTATCCCATGTTGGGTTCAGATGAATCCTTCGTCCTTTCACCCTCTCTTAGTGTGGGCAGAGAACTTCCTTCGTCCTTTCACACTCTCCTAGTGTGCTATAGAAACCCTCGCCTTTCACACTCTCCTAGTGTGGGCAGAGAACCCTTCGCTGTTGCACATCTCTCCATAGTGCGCAGAGAATCCGGATTCTCCTGACAAGTTCTTCTCCACAGAATCTAGAAGGAAGAAATGAAAGAGTGAAGTAATCACCCAATTCACAATAGAGCTCTTACCTTGAAATCCAGTTGAGCGCTTCTCCTTCACGTGGTAGGATATCTCCTTAATGCTCTCTTACAACTCTCTCCTTGCTATTCTCTCAAGAGGCACGAAGATCAAATGATAAAAGATTGAAGGTATGGCAAGTCTATTTTGAGATTTATACATAAGACAAGAAATAACCGCCCAAAAACTGCAAGTATTCATTAAGTACGCAGTGGATCGTCCTGTTTACGACGTGGATCGTTCCTGGACGTTACTTAAACGATCTTGAAACGCATCCATTTGAATATGCTTAGAAATGTCTTTCGTACAACTGATTCGTACCTGTACGAACTTAGTTCGTCCAGTAACGTAACGGTTATTTACAATGTTCGATATCTAAGAACTGCTGAAAATGTCATATATAGTCGGCTATAATCTTGGACAGAACAGAGAATCAGATTTCAGATTGAATCTCTTAGGATCCCAGGCCCTTATACTCCCTTTATATACCCAGACACTAACTGAATCTCTTAGGATCCAGGCCCTTATAACTTCCCTTTTATATAGCTATACAGATAGCATATCAATTCAGAAGAAATCTGCTGAATCAGAAATCAACAAAAAAATCGGGCAGCACAACGGCTGTATACGGAATTTACACAATTTTCCTGAAAAATCACAGAATACCAAAATTTTCACAGATATATATAACAACATATGCAAGACTTTAATTCTACTGCACAATATTTTAGACATCGTAGAAAAATACAGTCAAAATAAAACACCGCCGAATTCAAAATACCCGGACAAAAATCTTCCAGAAAATAACCAAAATGAGCACACTCGGCACGTTAACAACATACGGAAAATATGCGGTAAAAACTGAACAGACGGGAAAACGACGAAAATCACTAACAAAAATCAATTCCGGATAGATAATACCGTCAAACACGACGGTTCTGAAAATTGAGAAAGGCGGATTGTGCCTTACCTGCGTACAGGAATATCTTGAACAATCTCGTTCGGACAAAAATGGACCGGCGTCGCCGAAAATCAGCTTTTCCTTTTCTTTCTTTTTCTCTTCCTCGATCTGAAATCGAGATTATAAATTTATTTTTTCTCTCTCCTCGAAATGACCTGATTTCCTTAAGTAAGCTCAGATCGGCCCAGCCGATTCACTCGATCGTCCTGGACGATAGACCAAAAACCCATCGTCCGGCAAATTCCTGGACGATCCTTCGGGACGATAATTAATTCTGAAAAAGTCTGCTCTCTGCTTTTGCACTGAAACTGATCGGGCCTGGGATGATTCCCTATCGCCCCGCCGATCCTGGGAGAAAAATCACCTGGAGCAATCTGGCAAATTCTGGAGCAAACTTCAACTGATCGCCCAGAGACGATCCAGATCGTCCTGGACGATCCTGGGACAGAAAACAGAACTTCACACACCTTCTCCCAAGGAAGGGCCTCATTTGTAATCGACTACAATTACTAGTGGATTCATTCAAACTGGCTAGGCCCGTGGTTTTTCCCCTTTTCAGGGGTTTTCCACGTAAAAATCTTGGTGTCTCATAAATGCTAGACCCTTCTCTTATCTAATTGCGTGTCCGGATTTTCGTACACGTAAGAACGAAAAACTTTATATTTCTCTACCGCCGCGAATATCCTGGACAAACAATTATATTATTTAATATAATTATCATCGAAAATTTCATTTTCTCACCTCAAAATCAACCTAAAATTCTAGAAGAGAGATAAAAGAAACATATAGGGTGATAGAGATGATTAATGGGAGGGAATATATTCTTGCACTTATCTTATTTAATTTCTTTTAATGTTTATTCATTTAAATATTATTTTGTATTTTTAGATTTTCATTAAATATCTATGATTAAACTTTAAGTATATAAATGCTTATGTAAAATAAAAAACCATTTTATCTATTATATCATTTGTTCTAGTGCATAATTGCTTGAAATAATGATATTCTTAATTATATTAATGAAGTCTTACTTATGATTAATTATGTAATTTTATTATATTTACTAAAATTCACTTAGATTCGCTTACTTATTTAACATAAA